TTCCGACACCATGACGCGGACTTCACAGATGCCGGGTTTTACTTCAAGTTTAGAATTTTATGACCACTGAGCTAAACAGACCTCCAGATCATCTTCACGCAATATACATGTTTTAAAAAAAGGAAACTGAGCTACAGAGGTTGTCCTTGGGTCTCTGTGCCTCTGAGTCTTGGTTTTCTTATCCCTAAACTGAGCAGAGGAATGCCAAAATCTCACCTAGATGGCTCAGGGTCCTCCCAGACGCAAAGGTAAGGAGGCCTTGTCGGAAAGATCCTCTCCACGGACCGAGAGAAAAAAGTGGGTCCCGTCTCAAGCAAACAGCATGTATAACCTGACCCCAAACCCCACCGGCCCAAGCCTTCGAGATTCTCATCCAGAAAAGAATTCTCTGTTTAAAGGTTCTCACCATGACATCCATTTTTTGGTACATACCCCTCTAAGGCTTTTACATTTTCATTTGGTTTACCCAAAACAAGTGTTATACTTTTCAAAACCACATAAACCATTTTAACTTTTTAAAGAAAAATTGTTTTTAAGCAAGCTCCACACCCAATGTTGGGCTCAAATTAATGACCCTGAGATCAAGAGTCATGTGCCCCATGGACAGAGCCGGCCAGGTGCCCCCATGTAAAACCATTTTAAACTGTTTGAATTTTTTACTGCATGTATGAGTTTTTCTCACACACACACACACACACCCTGAAACAAACACAGAACTGGTCACTATTTTTTTTTTTTAAGCAAAGGAAACGAAATTCCAAGGGCCCCTAAGAAATTGTAAGTACCAAGAGGCCAGAATTCTATATGATACTTCTTTATGGATTCCCCCAGGGAAGTAGGCCAGCATTTTGCTTTAGCCTCTGTACACATAACTGATAATGCAATTTTGAAATAAATCAATAAAATCTATTTTTTAGGTAAGATGCATGCATATTTTAACAGACCCTTAAAGCCTGGTGTTCCCAAGGCCCGCATACTCTTAACAGAATGACAGAGGGAAGGCAAGAAGTGCTGATGGGATTTTTAGCTTCTTCAAGAACGGCAAGCAAGAACACCAGCTTTGCTCAAGTGCAATTCACTTCTGTTCAGACTGCAGAGAGCAGTAAGCGTGAAGGTGCATGAATTTAAGCCCCAGACGTAAGGCGTGCAATACAGTTGCTTCCGAGTGAATTTCGAACTTGTGAGCCTTTATAAACAGACAAGTGCAAAGCCTTGGAGCACTCGACTTCAGAGCCGGCCTGTGTGTCAGGCTCATCAGGAGCAGAAAGCCGGAGGCAAGTGAGGGCGCGTGAGAATTCTGCACAGCTCCTGCATGTGGAAGCGGCGGGGTGGGGTGGGGGGAGACCAGCCTTCCGACCACATTCCCTCCTGGTAAAAAAGCCACGGCTCATTTGCATCATCTAAATGGCTAAGTGATTTTCAGAGTGTAATCCCAAACAACTTGCTTTGCACTTTGTTTTTAACCACAGGGAGGGCTTCTGGATTCCGGTCCACGGGCTGTGGGGCTTCCACCAGCGAGGAGCGGCAGGGGGACCCGACAGCCAGAGAGTGAACCAAGCAGCCTGTTTCAGGCTTCCCTGGACTGTCACCTCTGCCCGCACAGTATCACCCACAGTCACTCCTCTGCGGGAGGAAAAAACGAGCTGCACAAGGCACAAAAGGCTTAATTCTGGGGAAAGGCAGGGCAGGGGAAAAAAAGGAAAAATTAAAAAAAAATCTCAGTGTGGGGCTGAGGGCCAGGGATTGGTTGCATGACTGGAAGGCTGAATGTGCAATTTCAAACCTCTAGGCGTGAGTGGGTGTGCAAGCATGTGAAGGTGAGTGTGTATGAGCGTGGGCACTTGAGTGCATTGAGTGCGAACACGTAAGAGTGAATGAGTGTGAGTGATCATGTATGAGCATGAACCCGAGGATGTGTGAGTGTGAGAATTTGAGTATGCACGTGAGCATGTGAGGCTTGTGAGTATGAACACAAGGGGGCAAGGGTGAACGCGAGTGTGTGAGCAGGTAAGTGTGTCTAAGTGGTGTGAGCGTGAACGGTGAAGGTGTGAGTGTGAGCACATGTGAGCACAAACAGATGGGGTTGTGAGTGAGCACATGTGAGTATGAAATGGCTGAGGGCGTGTGTGAGTATAACTGTGTGAGCACGTGCAAGCGTGACTGGGTGAGGGCGTGTGCGTGTGAGCACATGTGAACGTGAAAACGTGGGGTGTGTGTGAGGGTAAGCATGTGAGTGTGGAACGGCTGAGGGTGTGTGTGAGCTCTGAGCGTGAACACGTGGGGGCGTGTGTGTGTAAGCACATGTGAGCATGGAGTGGCTGAGGGTGTGTGCATGTGAGTGCGTGTGAGCGTGAACAGGCTGAGGATGTGTGTGTGTGAGGGCTGTGAGCATGAACGCGTGAGGGCGTGTGTGCATGTGAGCACTTGTGAGATTGAACGTGTGGGGGCATGTGTGGGTGTGAGCGTGTGAGCCCATGTGCGCATGAGCAAGTGAGGCCGGGCGTACCTGCAGCGCAGCGCAGCCCCCCACACAGGAGCAGCCGGGTGGGAGAAGAGCAGGGGCGGCGGCAGGGGCGTCCCTCAGCCACCCGGCGCAGAGTGGTCTACAGAGCGCGCAGAGGTGTGCAGCCAGAAGGCCGAGTCAATCGAGATGTCAGGCCTTCTGTAGACCAAATATCATTATCGGGTAACCAAGGGATTTTTGACCCAATGAGCAGAAGTTTTGGTGTCACAGATAAGGCTCCACCATAACAAGCTGTACAAGAAAAAGAAAACTTGGCTTATCATGCAAGCACTCAACCAACAGCTGAAAAGTCCCTAGGATCCCATAATTTCCAGTTGGTTACCCACCCTTCCCCCACGGGCGCACCCCCTCCGCTTCACGTGACTCAGAGTGACGCTGCCTGGGATTTTTCCCTGGCTCTACTCTGAGGGTGTCTTAAAACCTGTGTAAAGGGGGGAGGGAGGGTGGACAACAGGCAGGCTTCATTTCTTTGTTATTTTTATTTATTTTTAAACAAAGAGCTTGAACCCAGGACCCTGAGATCAGGACCTGAGCTGAGATCCAGAGCCAGAGGTTTCACCGGCTGAGTCCCCCAGGTGCCCAGCAGCCCTCATTTCTACCCGAGGACCTGCTGGCTCACAGAACATCGCTCAGCCATCTGGCCTCTCAGTTGGCATCCCTCCAGCAAGTGAAAAAAGAAAAAAAAAATAGCACCTGTCCTTATTGATCTTCCCTTTAACTGACTTCCAGACAACAGCCCTTTTCAAAGGTTGGGACACAGAAGCTGCTTTGAGAGACAGCCAATAGGAGCTGCTAATCCGCCCCTAGAAAGGCCGAATGGAAAGCTGGAGAGCGAGTTAAAGCCACTTGGCCGTGCCAGCGACGCGCCAGGGATTTAAAAGCAAACGGGAAGAGTAGAACCGAGGACTGTCCTCTCCAGAAGGCCTGTAATTGTGGGCACGAAGGCAGAGAGACGTGAGCCACACCTGCATCCAGAAGCCTGTCCAACCCATCCCAGGTGCACCTTTCCTCCCCCCAAGCCAGTATGCCTGTGCCCACAGCCCTATCCCGTCACAAAACACCAGACTGATCAGAGCCAGATTTTGCATACACATTTGCCTCCCCTTCATTGGCAGAAAACAGAGTCTCATGAACAGGAATGCTCAGTGTTCAAAAATTCAGACTGTGATTACTAAGGTGGGAGTCCGAGAGGGACGGGCTTTGAGGTCCAAAATACCTTCGAGAAGGAGGCCAAGGAGAAACATAAAGTTCTGGGCAGCTGCGGTTGGAGTTATTGCGGTAAGACGCATAGTATTTGATACTCAAGATGAAGTCAGAAGGCTACCTGCTGTAATAAAATGCAGACTTTCCCCCAGCGTAGCACCAGAACCCCTCCCCTTGCACACTGAACTAGGAAATTCCCTGTACTCTGGAAAAGTAAGAGAAAGTCCAGACCTTTTCAGAAGTGTTAGCTTCAACTCTTAACATCTTCTGTAAGACACTCTGATTCTCCTAAGAGTGAAAACAGCTTGGGACTGAGATTAACTATGTAACAGAAATAAACTCCCATCTCCTGCCAGGGCCAGAACAAGATGTCAGTATGATTAATCAAAACGATTGTGGCTCAGGTGGCTGGGCTCTGGGTCCTGGGATCAAACCCCACGTGCTGTTCCTTGCTCAGTGGGGAGACTGCTTCTCCCTCGCCCTCTGCTCCTACCCCGCCCCCCCGCTCATGTGCTCTCTCTCTCTCTCTCTCTCAATAAATAAAAAGTCTTAAAACAAATTCACTTGAAAACATACCTGAAATGTACCTACACCAGCCAGCAAGCATATGCATCGGGAACTTTAGCTTGGGCAACATAACCAAATGTAATGTTCTATTATTTTTGAAAACTGCATAGCTCAACGCATGGTGTTGTTTTAATTCATACCATCAAACTGCATCTAAGTTACACGGATCCCACAAATATCGTGCTGTCCTCTTCCCCCAGGACACCTGGCCCGAGCATAGCCCCGGGATTCGGAATCTGTCATAGAATCCCATGGCTTGTTTTCTTGGCCCATGAGTAGAAGCCGAGGTAATTCCATGACCTTGTCAGTCTTCTTCTGCCCCAAGGTATCACAGAATTGTGTTTTACCTGATCAGACAAAAGCTATACTCAGCAGCTCTGTTCATTATCTTCGGGGACTCGGGGAATTTCTGGTAACGTTCATGAACATTGTCTCCCTGAGAAAGGAGTGGTGACCTGCCAGAAATGTACCTTCAATATTGTTTTTTAAGATGTACATAGAAGTAGTAAGTGAAGTGACAGACTCACTGTCCGAGCTACCGAATACGCAGCCAGTGCTCGGCCACCTTCCCAGCAAACACACCTGGAGAGGATGGTGAAGTTATAACCGGCCCAGGGCCCTGAGCGGAGTCTTCGTGACTCAGGAGAAAGTAACAACAACCGGGGCATGCAAACCAGTTGACGGAAAATCTCAGAACGAAACTTACCACTCTGGGCTTCTGCTGGTCCAAGGTATGCAGGAAGGCGGAGTTGGGGTCCAAGCAGCGCTCGGGGTCACTGGAGATGTCCTCCTCCGAGTCTTCATAGGAGGAGGAGAAGCCAGTGGAGGAGGCAGATGAAGAGGACAGTTTCCTCAGGGGCAGGCTACCCCGAGGGCTCCCCTGGGCCTCCTCCAAGGTCCCATCCTCCTGGGCACCCGTGTCTGTGATGATGACCGCTGGTATACTGCTGGGGCTGCAGGCCTCTCTCGGGGAAGTCTTATCCTTCTGATCTGGGGAGAGCAGCTCCAGGCTGGGGTGGGCAGCTCCGTCCCGCTGAGGGCTTCCCCAAGTGCCCTCCGACTGCACCCCTGTGCCACACGTCCAGGCCAGCTGGGCTGCCTCCATGGGGCCCAGCCAAGCCCCAGAGCTCCCAGGCTCTTCCCCAGGAAGGCACGGTGGTTCTTTCAGCTCTTTCGCAGCTCCCCAGGAAGGCAAAGTCTCCAGCATTCCCCCAGAGGGAATTCCCGCCTTCACCTCCTGTGTCCCTGGCTGTGCTAAGCAACTGCCCCCAAGCAAGCCTCGTGTTGTCAGAGACCCTTCATCCACTCCTCTGGAGCTCGCTGGAGGCTCCCCGACCATGGGGGCCCCACCCTGGGTCACCTCTGGCTTTACGGAGCCCAGGTCTGGAGGTGGCCTGACCCGGTTGGGGGCCTCAGAAAGCTCCGAGCTTTGTGGATTCACAGTCCTGTCCTCTGGACTTCTGGCTTCAGGAACCCCAGGGCCGCCCCCCAGGCCACCAGGCAGATCTCCTTTCCCCACCTCCCCAGGGGGCTCCCCGTTTTGGGGCCCTTCCCTCTCTGGGGCTGGGTTTGTCTTACTGCCCAGAGGCTGCCCCTGTCTCTGCACGGGAGACTCCTGGGGGTGCACACAACCGAGTTCTCGGGCCCTCTCAGGCCGCTCAGTGAGGTCAGGGTCGTGTGGATGGTGTGGCCCACTGGATGTGGCTCTTGCTGTCCCCTCTGTGGCCATCCCTAAGTTCACGTGGATCAGCCCCAGTGGGGAAGCTTGGCAGCTGCCGGTTTGGGAAGGCAGAGAGACCGTCTTGTCGATTTCCACAGCTCTGGGCGAGCAGTGGGGTCTGGCAGGGGTCCCCTTCTCCATTCTTGCAGAAGCCGCTGCACCCTGAGCCCCTGGTCCTGACGGGGCCCCGGGGCCGGGGAAAGGTGCCACCCCCTCGTCGCCCTCTGAGAGGCACAGGCCCAGCGCCCTTCCTCTCCGGCGGGAGGAGGCGGCCTCTGCAGTCTCTAGACATTGCTCCCCCCACGACTTTGTCCTCCGTTCCTCACTCCGAGCCAGGGCCCTCCCTGGGGGCTGGCTGCTGCTGCGGAGGGGGCAGGGAGAGGGAGAACGAGCCCTGCCCAGGCGCGGGCTGCGCGGCACTTGGACGGCGGAGCTCTGCGCCTGGATGTGCGCCTCGAACATATCCACTTTCTGGTTCACCTGCACATTCTGCAACTCGCGCTGCAGGATTCGAAGCTTCCTCTGGGTCTCCTCCGGCCCCGGAGGGGAGAGGGATCCTGCGGTCACCACCTGCTGCCCGTCCCCTAGAGCGCGGCCCGCCCAACTCGGGCTGCACACGCTGCTGCCGCCGCCGCCGCCGCTGCTCAGCCTGCGCCGGCCCCGCCAGCCCCTGGGGCTCCCGGGCTCTTCGGGCAACAACGACTCGGCGGGGGGGAAAAGGAAAGAGGCGCCTCTCCCGGGACTGAAAACGCTGCCGGGGCTCAGCGCGGCCCTCCCCGGCGGCGGGGGCGTCTCGCTGCTGCTGGGCCGGGGGCCGCCGCTCTTCACCTGCTCGGCGCTATTCATGATCACCAGGCTGTTGAGGGCATAGCAGTACACAGCCATAGTACTGGGTCCGCCGCGCTGCCCGCTGCCGCGGCTCCCGAGCGGGCTCCGCCGCCGGCGCCTCCTCCTAGCGCGGCTCCCGGCTCAGCCCCGGATACCCGGCGGCCGCGGCTGGGCGCGCCGAGGCGGTGGCATGGCCTGGGCTGCGGGCGGAGGGGCAACACCGAGGGCTCAGCCCCGGCCCAAAGCTTCATACATGACAGAGCCGCTGTGGAGACACAAGAAGGAGAGTCAGGACCCCGGAGGGCGGGGGAGGGGGACGGTCGAGGGGGAGTGCGGGGGGTGGGAGGTGGCGGGAGTAGGGGCGGGACGGCCTGCTCGCGGACGCCGAGTCTGTCGGGGGTCCCGGGCCACTGGACCTCTCAGGACCGGAGTACGCTGCTCGGCGCAGACACCAGCGCAGCGGCGGGTGTGCGTTTCCCGAGTGCGCTCCCACCCCGCACCCCCAGGGTGTGATGCGCTTGCAGGTCCCTGCAGAGTCCAAAATCTAAAGCCACGCGGCGGGCGGGGGCCCACGTACGGCTACTTGGTTCCTAAGTGTGCTGCGTGCAGGCGCGGCTGAGTCGGATCTCCCCGAGGGTGCGGACACCGCATCCACGGTCTGCGAGTCTCCTCCGGCCGAGCAAACCCTGCTCTAAGCGGGAGGAAGGGCAACCCGCCCCTGAGCCGCAGCATCTGCCGCTCCACCCTCTCTGGTCTCAGGCACCCAGGCGGGGGAAACCTGACCGGGACCTGCCTCCCCAGCGGCTACCTGCGCCGGGCTGCGGGAGGACGCCTGCGCGCCGGCCGTTTACCTCCCCGATCCCGAGCTCGGGGTGGGTCCCTCGGCCTACCAAGGCCTGGGCGCGCGGCGGAGCCGCAGCCGAGGGATTTTTCAGCACTGGCCTTGTCGCCTGTCCCCAAACAAGTGTGTTTTGTGAGTGTGGGCGCGCCTGCGCGCGCCCGGAGCCGAGGCGCTGCACGTCCCCTGTACCGGAACCAGTACTCGTCGCCCCTGTCGTCGCCCCCCGCGGAGGCGTGTGTGTGTGTGTGTATGAGCGCGTACAGGGAGCCAAGCCTCCGCACCCCCTGTGCCCCAAGACGCGGCTGCCTCTGAGGCTCCGGGACCCGCGCCCACTCGGAGGCACCCGGGGGCCCGCGCGCCTGCAGCCCGGCTCGGCACCCCGCCCGGGCCCGCGCTCCGAACGCCGGGCGCCGCGGCCGAGGGCCGGGCTCGTCCGCATCCTGGGCAGCCTCGCCCGGCGCCAGCCCAGCGGCTTTGCTGCCGGAGCCGGGTACGCCCGGTGCTCGCGCGGAAGGCGGCCGGGCCGGCGGCCCGGAAGACGAGCGGGTGGGACGCCCCGAACCCGTCCCTCCTCCCCTCCCCACGCCTCGGCTCCAGCCGCCCTCCCGGCTCACACTCGGTCGGCGTCCCCGCTTCCCACCTCTCCGTCTTTCCAGAACCCGGAACGCCCAGGTTGGCTCCCTGGCAGGGGAGGGGAGGGAGGGCTAGGAGGCGAGAGCAGTAAAAAAGCCGCCAAACTTACCTGCAATTTCTCAGCTGCCCGGACCCGAGCAGACTATATGGCCCAGGGACGCAGACCTCGTAGGAACAAGATGGCTTGAAAAGTGAAAAAGCTCAGGATCGACCTCCCCAACGAGCTCTGGAAGACAAAAAAGGGGAGCGCGAACGCTGGGGGGGAGCTCCCGGGCTGGGGCCGGCGATCGCGCGGAGGCTCCGCCGGCCTGCCCTGCACGCCCTTCTGGGCCGTGCAGACACTACCCCTGTCAGTGTCTGCTCTGGCTACTTCAGTGTTTGTTCAATGTGCGATTAAAAAAAAAATGGGGGGTGGGGTGGGGAGGAGGGAGGAGGGAGAAAGGCGGGGGTTTGGGGGAGGAAAGCAGGAAGGAAGTTGTGAGCCCGTCTGGGGTTGAACTCAGCGGAACAAGTTTTTCTTTTCTTTCTTTCTTTCTTTTTTTTTTTTTTCTATTGCTTGGCAAGACCGAGAAAGGGAAACACTTAAAAAAAAAAAAAAAAGTTTCCATTGTTAGCTAACAGCAAAAAAAAAAAAAAAAGCCTTTTGACTTCTGCGGGTTAAAAGATATACGATCCATTTTCCACCCTTCCCCGAGCCTTCCCCCAGCCTTGCTGATGTCTTGCTTATTTTTAAAAAATGTTTTTAATAAAGTTTTGGGTGTGCATTTAGACAAAGCAAATCGTGGGGACCTTTTTAGCATTAAGACCAAATCCTTTATCAATGTGATGTGTGTTCTCTTACACAAATATGCAAATTCAAAGAAGGTAGTTTGTGGGCGCCCCCTCCCAACTCTGCAGATTTTAAATATGCATCACATAGTATTTTGGAAGATTGTTGGGCTGTGAGCTGTTGATGGTTTTGCAGAGCAATTACTAGTCGTATAAACATGCCTGGACTTTGCACGCTTCTCTGTTACTAAAGGTGCACAGCAAATGGGAAGCTGACATAGTTTTGCATGTAATGCTCAGTTATTTTAAGAGAAAGGATAGTCCTGAAGCTAAGAAAGCCTGAGACGCTTTGCTCAGTCTCTTCTAGCTGGATCATTTTTGAGAGCCATCAGCAAAAAAAGGGGGGTGGGCAGGGATAGGTGCATCAGTCAGTACTCCCAGGCTGGGAAACCCACCCCATTTGAGCTCTGTTGCCACCGGTGTGTTTTTCATAATTCCCTAAATCCTAAACCTCAGCATTTAGTACAAAGAGGGAAAACACAGCTGCCAGGCTCAGGAGATTTAAAAATCTAGAACCTGAATTGGTCCTTATATTTCTATTAGCTAAAATTTAGACGGAAACTTTGACTTTGTTTGTAGCGAATGCCTCTCTTTCCTGTTTATGGAACAATACCTTTCCAGTGAGCAAAACAGCCTGCTGCTCAATCAGGGAAAGACTCTTGTCAAATCTGAAACCAAGAGATCTTTTAGCTAAGAGCTTCTGGGAATCAGATGCTTCGAGTCCTTTCTAATTTTTTTCCAAATACGCCATGAAAGTATGGAGCCTTATTACTCTCCCACCCACAGCTGGGCTAAATAAAAGGAACCTAGACTGTATTCAGGTGTTGAGTTGGGATCTGGGCAGTTGCTAAGGCAGAGGTGCCAGGCCAACCCTTGACCCTAATTTGGTTCCCTAGTGGCTAGTTCCTGGAGGAGCTGCTAGTTCCCAGGAGACCCATTCTATGGACTTGGTTCCTGACTGTTCTACAAGAAGCAAACACCATGTCCGGTGTCATGGTGGAAGCGACTGGAGGACCTAGCAGTGCACACTGTGAACATGGAAATTTAGCTTCCCAGTCCCTGGGAAATCTCACTGTCACCTCACGGCTAGATATCATCAGTCTTTCCCAGAACTGAGAAATTCGGGCTTCCAGGACCTACAATTAGCCTGGAGAATTTTTGCTCGAAGAGGAGCCAACAGCTGGTCAAGGGTGGCACGCAGAAGGAATTCCTGCTTTGGGCTGGAGGTAGAGCCAGACAACAATTCTTCCTGTCCAAAATTCTAACTGTGCTACCAAGAGCATGATGGACTGGGGAAAAGATGGAGCAAAACCCATATCTGGAAGTCAGCATGGCTGGCTTGCTTCCCAAAGCAGAATCTGGTTGTCTTCCACGATTTTAAATGAATGTAGGGGAGGAAAAAACCATACAGCAAGTCTTAGAAGTCACGCATTGTTCACATTGTAATCTTCAGAACAATCCTATGAGCTAGATACTATGATTATTCCTATTTTACAGGTGAAGGAAGTAAGGCACAGTAATCTCCCCCCCAAATCCCATAGCTGGCAAGTTGCAAAGGCTTGGATTCAAACCTGTGCAGTCGGGATCTAGCATCCGTGCTTGTGACTAATTTCTCCATATTCTATACTAAATACCCACCATTGTAGGTATCGGTAGGGAAAGTTTGCCTAGCTGTCTGGGGTTTCCATCTTCCCACATTTGAAATGGAATTTTATTTATTTATTTATTTGCATTCTTATTTATTTGTTTGTTTAATTAATTAGTTTATTTTATTAACATACAATGTATTATTTGTTTCAGGGGTACAGAAATGGAACTTTAGTATATGCGCTGCCAAAGCGAGCACCAGAAATGGAATTTTAAAAATCATAGCCATGAAACTAAGAACAGAAAGGCAACTTCGTCAGTTTGACAAAGGGCATCTATGAAAAAAACCTACAGCTAGCATCATACTTAGTGGTGAAAGGCTGAACTGGCTTCATAGGACCAGGAGCAGGTAAGGGCGTCCGTGCTTGCCGTTCCTATCTAGTACGGTACTGGGAGCCCTCGTCAGAGCAGTTAGATGAGAAATAGAAATAAAAGGCTTCAGATTGGAAAGAAAGAAGGAAAACTCTAGGTACAGTGAATACGATTGTCTATGCAGAAAATCCTATGGAGTCCACAGCAAAGCTTTAAGTGAGGTTAGCAAGTGTATTGGTTAGCTAGGGCTGTGGTAACAAAGTACCAGGGCCCGAGTGGTGTGAACAAAGAAATGTACTGGTTCACAATCCTGGAAGCAAGAAGTCTGAATGAGGGTGGTGGCAGGTCTGGCTTCTTCTGAGGCCTCCCTCCTTGGCTATCCTCTCCGTGTGTCCATGTCCCACTCTCCCACTCTGATGAGGATGCCAGTCATATTGGATTAGGGCCCACGCAATTTTAACTAAATCACCTCTTTAAAGACCCTACCTCCAAATACAGAGACATTCTGAGGTACTAGGAATTAGAAGGTCAACACAATTTTTTTTAAAAATTTCATTTATTTACTTGACAGAGAGAGAGAGAGCACAAGGAGGCAGAGCAGCAGGCAGAGGGAGAAGGAGAAGCAGGCTCTCCGCTGAGCAGGGAGCCTGACATGGGGCTCGATCCCAGGATCCTGGGATCATGACCTGAGCTGAAGGCAGTCGCTTAACCGACTGAGACACCCAGCATGCCGGGATGCATTAATTTCAACACATAAATTTTAAGGGCACATAATTCACCCCATAACAGCCAGGTT